CGGCATAGAATTGAAATTTTCGCAGCCAACGCCCCGAGCTCTGACGTTAGTGTGTTATAGAGAGCTGGACAGCGTAATAGAATTTAACCACTTTAAAAATGCCGCTATACACTGACGTAGACGAGGGACGAGTTACATATCCTTCTAAAATGCTGTACGGTCGAGATTTGGAATGGTTTGGACGTAATGAGCCTTTTCTTAAAAACTACTATGGCGGTATAAGTAGCAGAGATACTTTGGAAGAGAGGTGTGGTAATAAAATAGTCGGGATGAAGAGACTGAAATATCCTATACTGTTTATTTGCAACATGGACAGAAAAAGCGAACCGGGAAGTCACTGGCTCGCTTTAAGCGTAGAGGCACCCGGTAGATTACACATGCACGACTCGTACGGTATAGATTACACAATATGGCCCGAATTTCACGATTTTGTGACAAAATACGGTCGTTTGCATTATTCCTACAACAGAGTTCGTGTACAAAGTCTGTCGTCAGTAGCTTGCGGTCACCATTGTTTATATTTCGGCAGCTGGCGATCTCGAGGTATTTCTAACGACGATATAGTTAGGCATTTCAGTAAAAGTAATACGCTTGCAAACGATTCCATGGTTTTCAGATGGTATGATAATGCCAAGAAGAGTATACTCAAGAACTTTAAGAGCTATGGATTTTGACGAGGGAAAAATTAGATTATTGATAGAGCTGTAGGAATGTTCTCAATTTTTTTCCCATGCCGCCATCTCGTCGCAAAACCGGTCTTACTAGGCAACCATACAAAGAGGTGTTAAGCATGGCTTTTAGCGCTTACGTTGTTAGGTACCCACGGCGATAACGTCTGTGTTTGATGTAATAGGTATAATTATGTCCAGGACCGGGATTTGACCCCTTACCGTCCAATGGCAGGACGAGGCGCCCTTAGGTCACGCCCCCTATTCTTTTCGCACGTAATCGCTGATGGTGATGAGAGTATCACGCACCCCAACACGCAGTAGCTAGTTGGAAGCCGCCTGCCCGAGAGCGAGGTTGTATATTTGAGTGCTCCGTACAAAGATGTCCTGCTGCTACGTTCCCGATTCGTATAATGACCAGAGCGATGGAGAAAGATGTAAACTTTTCTTCAATAAGAAGGGAGAAGTATCGCCATCAATGGACTCTGGAAACGAAGACACCTTGTCGGTGGACGGGAAATATGGTATCCCATGTTTCAGCGATGATAATGTGGTAACGGATTCATAATTACCGTTTCACAACAGGGAGAGTAGAGGAGAAACGGTGAAAGACAGTTGCGGGTACACGCGGAGACACATGGGGGGAACCTAGGAAACTACTGACGGATTTAAGCCAGAATTACTGTTACGAAACAATGATCAGCGGCTACGCCAGGATGATTTCTTTCCAGGACTGGCCAGAACAAATGGTTCAAAAGGGAAGACAGCTAGCCCAGAGAGGATTCTATTATACGGGTGTGGCGGACAAGGTCGTGTGTGCATGGTGTGGTTTAAGACTATGGAAATGGTGTGCAGAAGACGATAACACAACAGGTTCAACCCTTCGTGCGCATTTCTCAAAATCACGTGCCCCGTCAGGTTTGATACTGACATGAGAACTGTTTTGTAAACTGAGTTGATTTGTGAGTAGAAATGTAGTTGTGCATATTTACAAATAAAATTTGTGAAATGTTGCTTTTTACTAGTCTCTGTTGTGTTTTATATAAAAGTGTTGACGTTGTCTACCTCGTGGGTATATTTTGGGGTGGTTTAAACAACGAAGGATACGGTGCTCGCGCGGTCTAGTATTGTAGAGAGCTTTACATAGACTGCCCGACTCAATATCTTCTTTGTTGTATTTGGTAGAATATAACCGCCTTCCCGTGTTGTATTGTAGAGAGCTTTACATAAACTGGAGGGTGTGTTATTTTTGAGTGTCTTGTTACATTTGTTTTGCTGCCTAGTATTGTAGAGAGCTTTACATTGGCAGTACGACATTTACAGACCTCCTTCAAAATTATTATTCGTTCCCGCTTTGGGTTTACGATACGAGGTAAAGAACGTAACACTCCGTACCACTCTTGCTGCTTTGCCGTTTTCTACCTCACATTTTGTTTCATGTAGAATATCACCGTCTTACCGTCTTGTATTGTAGAGAGCTTTACACAGACGGGGTGGTCGTGTGATTAAGAGTGTCTAGGTGTTTCTTGCGGTCTAGTATTGTAGAGAGCTTTACATAGACAGCACGAGATTCCCTAGCCTCCTTCAAAAAACTCAAATATTATTGGCACGCTAATGGTGCATTTATGAGGTAAAAACGCGTCTGAGAGCAATTGAGAATTTAGCTTGACGGACGGATTCTTATGGTCGCCATTTTTGTTTGTGTGACGTCATTAGTATGTGTCACATGCGCGCGCGCACACACACACACACACACAAACACACACGTACATGCACGAACACGTACTAGATGACCATTCCCCTATTTGTGACGGTTCAATGACCACGTGACGTCAATACCGTCGTTGTAGGTCGTGACGTCAGTGTGGCAGTATATTTTCGAGGTTGCGTCACCAGCAAGTGACGTCACTACCTTCGTTTGTAGGTCGTGACGTCACGAGACCTATCGTCGTGACGTCATACGTGTATGACGTCAGTGTGGCCGCATATTTTCGAGGTTGCGTCACGTTACGTCACCTCGGAAATGTGCGGTCACCATACTACTATAGATGTCTGGTGAATATAAGAGGATTGATTGGTTGATGAAAAGTAGATCTCTGTCGGATATAAGTGGATGGATTGGTTAGTGAGAAGTCGATTTCTGATGAATATAAATGGATGGATTGGTTGGTGAGAAGTAGATCTCCGGTGAATATAAGTAGATGGATTGGTTGATGAAAAGTAGATCTTTGGTGAATATAAGAGGATTGATTGGTTGATGAGAAGTAGATATCTGGTGGATATAAGTGGATGGATTGGTTGATGAGGAGTCGACTTCTGGTTAATATAAGAGGATTGATTGGTTGATAAGAAGTAGATCTCCGGTGAATATAAGTAGATGGATTGGTTGATGAAAAGTAGATCTCTGGTGAATATAGGAGGATGGATTGGTTGACGAAAAGTAGATCTCTGGTGAATAGCATTAGTGTTTAGTGAAAAGTAGATCTCTGTTGAATATAAGAGGATCGATTGGTTGATGAGAAGTAGATCTCTGTTGAATATAAGAGGATCGATCGGTTGATGAAAAGCAGATCTCTGGTGAATATAAGAGGATGGATTGGTTGATGGGTAGTAGATTTCCGGTGAATATAAGAGGATGGATTGGTTGATGAGAAGTAGATCTCTGGGGAATATAAGTAGATGGACTGGTTCATAAAAAGTAGATGTCGGGTGAATATAAGAGGATAGACCCGTTGATGAGTAGATAGTGTCTGGTCATCTATCCTACCTTCTATCCCACCCCAAATCACAAGGACAACTGATTCGATGCATCCTTCAACAGCAACAAAAAATACCTGAACGCATAAACCCTGATTCAATCTTAATAGAGGTAATGCACTTATTTTTTTAAACCAAACCTGGATCAGATAAACCAATTATTGATATTACAAACAAGGACCCGCTCCGTCAGTGTACAATAACACACAAGCAAGTTACCGAGGATGACCACCCAAACCATTAACTGACCTCTTACTATACGCAAATTTCTAAAAAAATTGTAATTTATCTTAAACTATATTTACCTGTATAAATTGTACATTTTTCACCTGTCCATGTGCTATATTTTGTTTATTGAATTGTACTCTTGGTCATGTGGCCATAATACTGAATAAAGCCTTATGTTCCTGAGGGGCAGATCTTGCCTAGAATTCCAACATGATTTAGGAACACCTTTACCAAAGATCATTTCCGTATTAGAAAAAAATAGATTTTACTATCGAAACAAAAATATATTCATTTAAAAGTTTCCGTCTTCCTTATATTCTGTTTCCAGGAGATATATTGTTATTATGAAAATTATGTTATTTGTATATCGTGTTGACAAAGCAAGCAAATATTTTTAACGTAATAAATTTAATTAATTAATAAATTTAAACGTATCATGTATTTTCCATTTCTATGAAATGTGCAGAGATTTCGTACGATCATGGAAATTCTTTTATTGTCGTTAAGATCAATTACATGGAGGAGATTCCTTGAACTTAACCACGGTAAATTACATCGGTCCTTCTTGAAAGTACAGCATTCATTCTCCACGTCTACCCTATATTCCCCTGTGGAGAATCGTGTACTGTAGGTCTCACTACCTAATGTCCGGGTATGTTCAGGTGGACACGAGTCAGGGAGTGCACCCACAGATTAGTAATCATATTGTCAACACACCACACAGCATACCGTGCTGATTGAAATTACAACGTATAAAACTACCTACATTAATAAAAGGACAGTTTACAGTTAATGAAATATTAGCAGATAACATTTTAATTGACAAGTGCTTACGTTCAATTTCTGTCTTATCTATCTTATGTGTTCATTAATACCAGGAGATGATTGATTTATCGTATGTATAAACGTCTTCCCTTTAAGAAATTATACGGCAGCTGTCATCTGATTATTGTGTTCAAAATATTGATAAGAAAGTATGAATGCTCTTCCAAGTTTAACAAAATGCAATCTTACTTCAGGTAATATCTAAGATAACAAACTGCTGAACCAAGCATATAGCGAAACTCATAATTTACGAAAATCGACAAAAACTTATAATCCATACAGTCATATTTATCAAAATTAGAATAAGATCTGACGGTCAATAATAAATGTACCTTTTAATTGTACACTGTTTTCAAAAGATTTTACCTCGTAGGCTAAAACGTTATCTGAAGCCTTTACTTGGAAACCGAGCAATGTCGAATGACGCCAGTCAGCTGATCGCTGATTGGTCGCTCTGTGCCAGTACTTTCTGTATATAAGTTTGGGCATTTTAAAGGTAACTTCACAAGCGCTAGGGCGCCAATTGTCTCAAGTTTTAGTAGGTCTTTCAGGGAATCAGCCAAAGGAATTTCGCAGCGGTATCTGTGCACCTTTGGAAATGGCACCAAGTGCCTCTTTTAAGACCTTGAGTCTTGGCCTCCTGCTTTTCTCGGCGATCGAGTAAGTTCAGATTTATTCTTATATCATGAACAATTTAAAGGATTCATGTCATGTACATATATTTTTTCCTTATTTATTATTTTGAAAACATTCTCTTATATGTGTCGCATATTCTAAATCCAGTTTAAGTATATTCCTAGTATATTTATGTTTGTGTTATTCCTGGCTTAATGATATTTAAAAAATGAAGCATCTCAAGTTCAATACGCTTAAGTTTCTTTTTTAATGTTACTTTTCAAAATCTGTTTCTATCAAGACTTTTCTTTGGATATAAAATAACTGATTTTGTATCACAAAAACTCACAAGAGGAATAATATTTCTCGTTTAACGTGCGGCTTTGATATGGTACGACGCGCAACATATCAGTTAATCCAGTCATCGAAATGCATATTGAAATAACAGTTATATGAGCTAGGTTATAAATCTTGTGTCATGAAGAGTGAAATACTGCTTTACTGTGTGTGAAAAATGTATCTGCAGAACTTTCATTTCCTTTTTCGGGTTTGATCTGATCCATTAACCGTTACCAATACCATAACGTAAGAATTGGCATTTGATTCCAATACTAGAAACTTTACTTATATTGTTTTGTAAATATGTTCATATTTATATTAAATGGAACTGTATGTGCCAAAAATATAACTGACGAGATTAATCGAAACTTATCATTGACGGAGGTAGCCTCAATCAGTAGATTGTTGTACAGATAACACATTCTGTAATCAAAAGCGCTCAATGTGATACATGACAAATTACTTTTAAAGGTTTCAAAGGAAAATCGCTTTAACTTTACACTTCTCGAGACAACAGATTAAATATTACTTTACAAGTACCAAAGCAGACTATGTGTTACGATCTTGCATAAAAAAACGACTAACTGTGTAAATGTTTGACTGTTTACGAAAAAGCAGGCGTTTCATTCCAGGTTTCACACAAACAATCTCTCGATAGTCAAAATGGAGACATTGTAAATGAGATTAAGAACGTTTTTGTTAAAGGTATATATAAGGCTCATGCTTCAATTACCTTTTTAAAATAAATTGTATTACAAAATTTAGACTGCCTTGTGTCCCTGTGAGATGTCCTTGATTGACAAAATGTTGAAAAGGATTCTCAAGTATCCCAGAAGCAGTGTAATGCACATTGCCATCTGTATGTGCATTGTGAAGTATGTGAGAAACCGTCAATTATCTGTAGTTAGTTCAATCAGGCACTCACGGCGTGTGATAAGCCATGCACTGGGGGAGACTGGTAGAGGGGAGGTGTCCATGTCGTTATATTTAGTTTACATACGGACGATTGTCGCGACGGATTAATCTTGTCTTATCATTCTAAATATGACGACCGTATATCACATATTGACGTCAATGGTGACAAGGCTTTTCCTACTTGCAATTTCTTTAAGACACCCGGTGTTCATGATCAGCTTTCGACAGAAAACTAATTGTGAAGTTAATTGCAAAAAATTAATTTCAAAATTGACTACTACTGTAAACTACGATTATATAGAAATGAACGTGACCACTAATTGTAGTTCGACATAACCGTAGTTCGTTATACGTATTTCGCTTAAAAGATTAAAAAATAACGTAAGTTGCCAGGATCAAAAGACGAGTTCGTTATATCCGTCAAATCGTCCCTAAGCATGTTCGTTACAGACGTAATGTACTGTATTTCTTTATTTCAAATTTCTCATATCCTGGAAAGTAATGGTGTTTTTGTTAAGATAACTACTTTTAAATCACAAAGACATTCCAGATTTGGTAATGCATTTGGAAGATTGTCGTGTTGGTGTAAACTTAAACCGCAGTGAATTTGTTTGTGTGAGATTGCGGATTACATGGTTGTTTATGCCGTATGTTTCAAGGCAGACACCAAGTTTGCAGTGGTTAATGAATAGCCGCTAAAGAGTAAATTGGGATTTGAAAAGGTTAAATGAGATTGCATGAATCGTTTATGTAAAGGCAGCATTTTGCAAACAATGTGTAAGGGTATTTAAGTGGCTGGTGCGTCAATACTTCACACAAGCGGAGAACCCTATCAGAAACATGGCTTCATAAATGCAGATAAACAGTCCGTTTTAACGATAACACCCTTCCCAAAAAACAAATCCCGTAGAGTTGATCCGAAAGTTTTTACTTATCAGATCGCTTGCCTTTTCCTTCTGATAAGGTTTCAACATTTACGACAATCATTAAGTTTTTTTCTTTACCTGTTTTGCAGGGCCGCTCGAGTCAAGCGCGAAGGTAAGTTGTAATATCGCTAATAGTTGAATTATTTATTAGTAGGGGACGCGAGTGGCCTAGCCGTGTTACACGCCGTTAATCAGTGTGGAGAGTTTGCCTCTCTTAGACATGACAGGAATCGATGATCATGGGTTCGAACCCACTATGTACCCTGATTGTGTATCAAGGTTTTGGCACCATTAAACCCGTGTTCATGGGTTACAAGAAAGTTGTAAAGTTGTATGACCATTATCTTTTCGGACTTTCCTTCAACATTATGCCGATGCTGTGATATAACTGAAATATTGTTCATCGCGAGGTGTAAGCAAACTTAGTCCCTCATGCATGTGTCACATCGCCTGAAGTAATTGTGGAGTACAGATTTAACAAGCACATGTACACTCGAATATCTTCGCTTATGGTGTATGTTGAGGAGATCAACATATGTTAAGAGAGCAGATTAACCCTATGATTCCGGGTTCGAATCCAGGTTCTCAACGATTTTGTATCTCGGTTTTACAGTGCACGTTGGCATCACTTTCACATCAGCGTTCTTTTCGTCCTGATAAAATGACATTGGTGTCAAAACTATGTTTACCTAAAAGCAATAAATGTCATAAAACCACTTCATGCGTGCGTTGAGTACACATACTCTGGCTTCAAACAAGTAAAAATATCAAATGGTTGTATATCAAACGAGTCAAATTACACTCCAGGAAGGCAACGCTGTTCAATGTGTAGTACATACACAATAAAGGCTCTCTTTGTAGACACTTGTCCCAACTAACGTAGATAAGTGTTATGACTCATCATGGCTTATTGACATGGGGAACAGTAGAGTTAATAGATTGGTGCTGGGGCAGGTTGAAGTGCGTGAGGTGGAAAAGGCGTTCACTTCTGTTTTAAAGGTCCGATATATGCATGTCGATACAGGTTTTTTATGCCAGGTACACAGTGTGGGGTTACACACATGCAAATAAAGAGATGCAATAGATTAGAATACAAATATTAGGTTTGAGAGTCATGAACACCTTTGTAATGGCCGATCAAAAAAAATCCATGAAGATCCGGGTTAGAATTCGGGTCTTCTGCAACCCATTAAGAGGCGACTAACGGGATCGGGTGATCAGGCTCGCTGACTTGGTGGACACAGGTCATCGTATCCCAATTGCGTATATTGATGCTCATGATGTTGATCACTGGATTGTCTGCTCCAGACTCGATTATCTACAGGCCGCCATATTGCTGGAATATTGCTGAATGTGGCGTTAAACAACAAACGAAATAAACAGACAAGCTTGACGACACACGAACAAAAGTTACCGCTACACGTGTAACTAACTGTCTTATATTCCCTTTCTTGTCTATTCCAGCGGTAGGTAACTCCGCCTGCCAACCTCTGCCTGCCCCCAATAACGGAAAGATCAACTGTGCCAGCAGTGTCGACGGATTCGACTTGTAAGTGGACGTCATTGGCTGGGGCCTAGAACATGGGGCTTTTATCGGAAAATGGAACTTTAGGTTTGGAAAAGTAAAGAAAGAAATGAAAAGTACAGCCTCGGACCAATTCCGGTTTTATAGTGCTATATCACTGAGATACCATGCCTCTACTCTCTATCAGACCGCATCCATGGTGTTGTGGTTAGAGCGTCCGCCCGAGAGCGGAAGGTCGCGGGTTCGATCCCCGATCGCGTCATACCAAAAGACGTTAAAATATGGTACTTGTTGGTCCCTGCCTGGCGCTCGACATTAATGGGTACATCAAAGACTGGTCGGCTCGGAGTCAGTATAATGTGTCTGAGTGGGGTATTCATGCCTCAGTGCGCCAAAGGTATCTCAGTGGGCTAGCACTATAAAACCAGCTTCAGTCTGGGCTAGTACAAGCAGCCGCACATACACACGCATGTACGTTGTCATATGAGCGAAATATTCTCAAGCACGACGTTAAAACCTAATTTAACCTCACCCGCCTCCACTTAACGTATAAAAACAACTCTGATACAGTTTTCTCCGAGCCAGGCCATCCTTATCCTTTCTGGTGATAGCCAGGCAGGGTGAAACAATTAACATAGATTTAAGTCTTTCGTTATAGCCAGCCCGAAGTGGAACCAAACCACTTCCGAATTATTGGTTGTCATTGACCAATTTTATGATGCCAAGACAAAATCACATCTTCATCAGGTGCTAAACCACATTGGTATTTCCACAGTGTCTGCACCGCCACATGTAACACCGGATTCCAGTTCAAGACAAATGAAGCGTCCGTAGAACGATCATGTGACAACTTTGACGGAAGCTGGTATGATGGGAAGAATATCCCCGAGTGTCAGCGTGAGTATCGACCACAGTCAATGAAATGTCCGGGAGAGACTCACTAGAATTGTCGACGAGAATCTGACAAGAATCAGAGACACGGGATGAAATACATCACCTATATGGGGTAGCTTCGTGGTTAAAGCGTTCTCTCGTCACGCCGAAACTCGGGTTCCATTCTCTACATGGGTACAATGTCTGAAGCAATTTTCTGGTGTCCCAAGCCGTGATATTGCTGAAGTATTGTTTAAAGTGGCGTAGAAACCATACTCACTCACTAACAACCTCTTAATACGCTGCTACAAAATCGGATCTTCTGGTCCGGTTCAGTTATTCGACTGGCCACTTTTATCACCTTCCTTCGTTGATTGAATTATGAAAAATTTCTTTGGACTTTGACTCTGATGCAACAATAAACTGCATAAAGAATAAAGAACTTTTACATGAAAATCTGATTATCCAGTCCCCAAAATAATCTATCGACTGTTATGCCCAGTTCATAAAAGAAGGTTCCATTACAGCTGTATGCTCCCCGGGGTGTCTGAACGGCGGGTCGTGCAATGAACCCAATAAGTGCGCTTGCATAGACGGATGGAGAGGCTCACACTGCCAGCACCGTAAGTTATCAGTTTTAACATTTATTGTTTCTTCTGAAGTGCAAAACTTTGTTATTAGGTTTTAAAGGCTGTTTCCACACAACAGTGTTCCCTCAGGAAAGAAACTTATTTGTAAATGTTAATTCTACCCTTATCCGGGATTATAGGAATACATGAAGGAAAGACTATTGTCCACAAGACGTCCTCCAAGTTAAAACATCGTCGTCATAGTTACATCTTTGAGACGTGTATAATTATTGTTATGATTATCATTAGATTCCAGTCTGTGCGCGAAGCCCTCGGGTCCTTTGTTCGGCAGCATCCAGTGCAAGGCTGACAGTACAGCTACTGTCTGTACTGTGGGCTGCGCACCCACCTTCAAGTTCCAGACACCCCCCGCCCCTGAGTACAGGTGCTCGGCTGATGGTACATGGAGTCCCCCCAAGGAGAGCATCCCAGACTGTGTGCAAGGTGCGTTGTCATGTTGGAGTGTAGAACACGTGGTAGTGGTTAATATTACCCTACTAAAACTACCTCTTTACGTATTTGGGGTTTGGGGATATACACTGGAGATCAGATTTAGAATTGGTCCAAACGACGTATGACTCGTTTGCTGGTTGTGATATGCGACTGAATCAATTGAACGGTAATGCTCTAATTTCGAATGATTGCCTGTCGAAATGATCCGACAAGTTAAACATTGCTCATTATATCAATCAGAGGATTGTTGCCTCAAGACAGTTATTAATAGGCATGTCGCGACAAAGAATAAAATTTGGAATAAGAAATCAATAAAATATCTTTGTTTTCTTTCAGAACTAGTTGCCCCATCTGTTCAGCCAACGGGCAGTTTAAGTGAGTATACAAAAGCAGAATTATGTTACAGGAAGGATTTAGTGCCACTGTTTTTGTCGATTTCATCTGTTCTCAAATAAAAGACTCATGTTTTCCTTTTCGGCTATCTCACAACTACACATGTATATACTGACTGTAATATGAAACACCGCTGCAGGGCTCCAGATAAGGGCCGTATCGGCGTAAATGCAAGATACGGTAGGAAATCATTTAGAAAACGTAGCAGATACGCACCACAACAATAGTGTATGGTATTAGAATCATTTACAGACGTATTTATCTGAAAAAGTATTGTTTTATTGTTCATTGACCTGTTTACACAAGAGTAGCAATGTTGTGGTGCATATATGAAACGAAACACAACATTACCGATACTCCATTAATTTCCATTCAGTACTCTAAATGTACTCTTAAGGTTTTCCTGTTGAAAAATTATCTGGAGCCCTGCTGCTGGTCTAAATCCTAATGTCGTCACTAATACTAAGTGGGAATTCTTGGGGGAGAACTGATAGTCAAGCACGTTGTACAATGTGGTCTTAGTGCTAAGACTATTGTAAGTCTTTGTTAAAGTATTGGGGTTACAATCATCTTGACGCTAAGATAGTTTTGTGCAAGAAGCATACAATGTAAACTTGTAACAGCTGACTGAAATTGGTCGGAGATCATGCTTTTATTCAAAGGTGTATCTGGAGGGGACTCACTTTGTTGTCTTACATCTCGTTAGTATTTTATTGTATTTATAATACCATTCAAAAAAGTAGGGGATATTCCATTTTGCGAACATACCACTAGCCAATGCATATGATAAAAAGTGATATATATCCATGCAGATGAAACATTTCCAAAGGAATGGAATAAATTGTCACATTTTCCCTTAATTTCTCTGCATCATCTGTTGCCTCCTTGGCTTCATCATTTGCATTTTATCAATCTTGTAAATCCAATATCCCCCTACTTTTTGTAATGGTATATATTACTGTATATGGCACAAAATGACATTCACTCACTCATGTCACGTTGCAGTCCACCCCGAGGTGAACGGTGACGCCACCTGCGTTACATGGGGCCAGGACCACTACAGGACCTTCGACAACAAGATGTACACATTCCAGGGTAACTGCCACTACCTCCTCGCCAAGGACTGCGCCTTCAATACCTTCGACATCCACGTCATCAACGACGGGAACTGCACGGTTGGAAAGCAATGCAAGAGAGAAATAGACATCTACATGGGCTCAACGAAAATCAGTTTGCGTCAAGGTGCTGGTGGACCCGAGGTCACGTGGAATGATGCCCCTGTGAGTCTACTGCTTATCGTTTTTGTAGAACACATTTATGATTCTGCAGATTTTGGTAATTGGTAATCCATGCCTCTCTGCAATCATTATAAATTTTCAAATGACTCCAAAAGTCAAAAGAATAGTAACAGTCGTGGTAACCACTGTGGCGATTGCAAACGGCAAGTCTGTTAACAGTCATAACCTTCTATGTGAAGCTCATTTCTGGCCTCCCTGGCCATGATATTGCAGGAATATTGCTAAAAACGGCGTAAAACTAAACTCACGCACTCACGCACGGACTCAAGCACTCACTCGCTCACTCAGTCACGCATAACCTTCCAGGTGATTGGGTAAGCCCTTCCTTTGTTAGCCATGACAAATCTCCCAGGCGACAGATAAATACCTTTAAGTGGAAACCACCAAGACAATTAGTGTACTAGTATTAAAGACTTCAGCGCAAAATAATCATGACAAAGATGTGAGGCTTCTGGAATGAACCTTTAAATACCATTGGTGACCCCAGTATTCGCAAAACTAAAAGGCATAGCCGACTCTACCGGTACTATCCGCTATTATTGGTTCATTTATTCCTACAGGTGAAGGTCCCCGGTGCCCACGATGGTGTTGTGTACGAACTGGTCGGCTCCTATATCGCCGTCAGAACTGGACTTGGCTTCAAGGTCAAATGGGACGGAAAGGAGTCCATCTTCGTGCAGGTGGCCGATGATCTGAAAGGCAAGACGTGTGGCCTGTGTGGACGTTACGACGGTGACCCTAACAACGATTTCGAGACGGACACCGGCAAAGTGGTCACGTCTGCAGCTAGCTTCGCCACCACCTGGAAGAAGGAGCTTCTTGATGGATGTAAGTGAGATGCATTAAAACAGAGCAGACAGCCCTTACGAGATGCATCAAAGCTGACTACATATCCTTTACAAGATGCATCAAAGCAGGGCAGATAGCCCAAACGAGATGTATCAAATCTCAGTCAAAGTCTATCAGACACACTTTATGATAAGCACCAAAGCTGGGTAGATACACTTTACGAGATGCTCAAAGCTGGGGAAATACCTTTTACGAAATGCAGAAATTCTGTCCAGATACATCATAACTAGTCAGATACCATTTCGAAACGTAACAAGCTTAGGCCAGTACCTCATACGAGAAGCATCGAAGGTAACCACATATCTCTTAACAAGATGGGCCAGAGCTGACTAAATACAACAAATCAAACAGATGTGACAGGGAGGTCATAATGTGGAACAGACTCATCTTCTTCAAGAACGTGCTTTACCAAATGTTGCCATGTCACTGTTGTAGCCTCTTGTCCCGATGTCTCCCAGCACGCTGTATGCAAGATGGACACCCCCCAAAACAGCCAGAAGGCCCTCAGGGCGTCCAATATCTGCCAACAGCTGATGACTGATGCCTCCTTCGCCGCCTGCCACTCTGTGAGTATTGTCCATCCAAAGATGCTGTCCTACCCTCCATCCATATAGAACATTTCCTAAATTTACAAAATTTGTTATTTTTTGTAAATATGATATTCCACAAAATTTGTTATTTTTGTAAATATGATATTTACAAATTGTAAAATTCTGTAAATCACCATTTTGTTACTTGTGACACTTGTAAAGTATGGAGACCATGCTGAGATTATTCTCTATTCCACCATAGATATACGTACAGTACACTTTTCGGACAGGATTTGGCCCTGTTTGCTAAGCCCTAGGTAAAACCAGGATCCGCTGGAGATTTGTTCGCATTATTCTCCCTAGGTTAGTCGGCAGCAAAGTTGTGGTCTGGATGAACTAAAATCTTCATTACTTCGGGTTTCTTCCCACATTTACACTATATATCCATATAAATCTTCATAATTCAGGTTGTTGACGTAAACCCCTACATCCCAAGCTTGCAAGACAGACTGTTGCAATGGCGACCAGCAAGCATGCGCGTGCAACACCTTCGCTGAGGCGTACTCCAGGGAATGCATGTCAAAGAAGGTCAAACTCTCCTGGAGAAGGACTGATAGATGCCGTGAGTAGTGCTCACTTGCGTTAGGAGAGAGATAACCTCTTAGGAGATAATGAACTAAGAGGAGATAACTTTTGATTGCCGTGACGTCCCACGTACGATGCACAGGTTGTAGATCCAGGCTAAATTAAGTAAACCTTGGTCATGGACAGATGGTGGCGTTATCGACAGCTTGAAATAAGTGGGTTTTCGAGTTCTACCTAACAATAAAACACGCGACACCATGTGGTGCCTCAAGAATGACTTTGTTTGGTGTTTGATTCTATTTTCCCCTAAGGGCAATGGTTTTCGTGGTTCTTGAGTATTTGAGAAAGAAATTCGATTGTAACGTAAACCGATATATGTTGGTCATACGAAATTTGGTATTCGCAACTACTTAGCATACGTCATAGCAACTTTTCATTTCAATCTCGACAAAACTAAATGTTTGACATTTATGGTATTTGCAGTAGAAAGGAGCACGATTCCACATGCTCATGTTCCTAAAACGTTTGAGATTCTCATTATGGGTATCTACTTGAAACGACCTTTAAAAGGTTCGGGTTAGGAATATTGATCTTCAGTAACTCCATGCTTGTCGTAAGAGGCGACTAATGGGGTCAGGTGTGGTCAGGCTCGTTGACTTGGTTGACACATGTCATAGGTTCCCAATTCACTGATCACTGGATTGTTCATCCAGACTCGATTATTTACCGGACCGCCGCCATATATGGCTTTACTATTGCTGAGTGCGGTGTAAAACTAAACTCGCTCTACCTACTCTTCTT